TCGACTGACACACACATCGACTTAAACACACCGCACACAGACACATGGACGTACACAAACAAACAGTGACTGTCACACACATTGACTCGCACACACATTGACGCATACACACACGGGCTCGCACAGACACAATGCACACACACATGGACCCTCGCCCACATGGACGTACAGACGCACACTCTCACTTTCATATTGACTAAATACGTTTTTAAATAATAGTTTTCTATGTACGTGCCTTTAGCGAAAGAAGCAAGGGAGAGGGGAAATGCATGCATGTATAATAAGTAAATAATTAGGAGTGACTGCGAGGGTGTTCTGCCATTTTGGTGCAAACATTTGCTTCAAGCAAATTAATGAAAGTCAACGAATTCAAAATTAACCTAATCGACCTATAACTATGAGCAGATGCGCACCAATCAAGGGTAATTGACATATCACTACTCAAACCCCCTACTGAGGGGGCAAGTGTAAATATTATAGAATGAAGACGTAATTGAGTATATTTATTGGTTTGCCATCTGTGCAGTAAGTGATATTGCGTGGCTGCTTATGTCTCAAGAATCCAGAATAAAGCTCTTCTTCAAAAACATTGGTTCATCCCTGTCAGTTAATTTAACCTATAAGAGGCGATTTGTGAAGGGTGCTGTGAATCTGTGCGTGTTACCTTGCGCAGTGTCCACACAAAAGAGAATTCCCCCCTCACCCCCACTGAACGCGTGTGACTTGGTAGGGCCCCCCCCCCCCACCGAACGCGTGTGAGTTGGTATGGTCGAGCGCTCGCTGTGTAATAATCGTTAATTAAACTTCTTTAAAGGTGATGGACGCGAAATCGGAATAGCGCTGGCTCAGCACGGGGCTTATGGCGTGGTACCTGGCTACTTATTTTTTTACATAAACCCCACAGTTTGCAAGCCAAATCCTTCACAACTTTCGGCCGCATACAGATAAACAGATACGCAGATAGACAAACAATGACATTTATAGGTAAGACTAGCGGGAAGTACCTGCCGTTGCCCGGGCAAAACATATTTACAAACGTATTCTTTTTATTTTGTTTTATTTTTCTACCTACGTGGCTTTACCGAAAGAACCAATGAGTATATTTGAAAACGTATCTTAAAAACATTACATATGCATACACAGATACTAAACTATTGTGAAAGCCCGGTGGGCCGTTTGTCCATTTGTTCATTTCTCCACCAACACAATTATAAGACGCTTTCAGAAGTCCAAAAAGTTATAGAAAGTGGGGGTTAAATAGCTGATATAAAAGGTTTCCGAAAATTGTCGACCTCCCCCTCTCAAAAATATTTTTACCCCCGCGTGGGTACCTGCTTTCACTACAGCAGTGCATACCGAATGTGGTGATACCTGCTATTACTACAGCAGTGCATACCGACTGTGGTGGTACCTGCTATCACTACAGCAGTGCATACCGACTGGTGGTACATGCTATCACTACAGCAGTGCATACTGACTGTGGTGGTACCTACTATGATTACAGTAGTGCAGACTGTGGTGGTACCTGCTATGATTAAAGCAGTGCATACCGACTGTGGTGGTACCTGCTTTCACTACAGCAGTGTATACCGATTGTGGTGGCACCTGCTATGATTAACGCAGTGCATACCGACTGTGGTGGTACCTGCATTCACTACAGCAGTGCATCACCACTGTGGTGGTACCTGCTATCACCACAGCAGTGCATACCGACTGTGGTGGTACCTGCTTTTACTATAGCAGTGCATACTGACTGGTGGTACCTGCTTTCACCACAGCAGTGCATACCGACTGTGGTGGTACCTGCTATCACAGAAGTGCATACCGACTGTGGTGGTACCTGCTTTAACTACAGCATTGCATACCGACTGTGGTGGTTCCTGCTATCACCGCAGCAGTGCATATTGTGGTGGTTCCTGCTTTCACGACAGCAGTGCATACTGTGGTGGTACCTGCTATGATTACAGCAGTGCATACTGAGTGTGGTGGGATCTGCTATGATTACAGCAGTGCATACTGTGGTGGTACCTGGTTTCATTACAGCAGTGCATACCGACTGTGGTGGTACCTGTATGATTACAGCAGTACATACTGTAGTGGTACCTGCTATCACTACAGTAGTACATGCTGACTGTATCTTATATATAAAAGGGAAATTTACGAATGTGTGTCTGTTCAAAATGTTTAGCATACTTCCCGACATGCAACCAACTTGTATTCAACGGGAATAGGCCGATTAGAAAGAAATATACAACCTTCGATTCCTTTGAGCGATTTAAAGAATCGAATCTTGGCACGCTTGGGTTTTATTTTATTTTTAATTAATGAGTTTTCTTTTCATTTGTATGTTATGTTTTTAAGTTTTCAGAAGTTTTTCAATATATATTTTTCCCCCAGGCAATGCCGGGTATTTCCCGCTAGTAGCAGTATATATCGACTCTATAGCACAAAGTACTCACCTGACAGAAGGCCGTGGTGAGACCTAGTCCCGTGCAGAGCCCCCGGCCTCGCCTAGATTGCCCAGCCGGCCGAGGCTGGGGGCTGGGCCGCTACCCCCCCCCCCCCACTACAATAATACTATAGTCTTGGTTCTTTCGATAAAGTCGCGTAGAAGGGAAAGAATAAAATAATAAAAATATAAAACAATACAATTCTCATGACGTTTCGACTGCAACACAAGCAATCATCTTCAGGTGTGAAAACCACGGCAAGAAAATTGGAAAAAAAGTGGCGCTTATTTTTAATGTTAGCACCACGGAGAGCGATTTGACAGTTTGTTCAGATGGACGAGTCCATCTATGTTCGGAAAAGAGGAGGGGGGAGACGAAAATAATGGATGCGGTCTGAAAGCCACCGTAAGCGTAAACAATTAAGACCCGAAATGGTTTATCAAATCCTTCCAATGATTGCTAAGCCAGAATCCATCTTCTCAGTTGAAATTGTCTCTGTGTTTGTATAATGTGGATAGCCTCATGAACGAATCTCTCATGGTAGCCAGATGGCTTGCAAAGAACCTCTGTCTGGGAGAAGTCAATGTCAAGTGAGCCTACTGAATTATAACAGTGATCTGCCACGGCCGAGGTGTTGGTCCTACCATGTTTAAGGTCTGCTTTGTGTTCACGAATGCGGTCCGAGACATGTCGTTTCGTTTCTCCAATGTAACTACTACCACAGAGGCAACTTAGTTTGTAGACACCAGGGTACTGTATGTCCGGAATCACATATTTTACAGATGGAACCAGATCACAGATTTTATGTAATGTGTTGAATCGTACCTGGATCTTGTGTTTATTCAAGACTTTGGAGATCTTTTTTGTGACCCCCGCAATGTAGGTTAAAGTGATGGTTTTGAAAGGCTCTTCAAGAGGGTCCTTCTTCATGGTTGGAGTGATAGCTTTGCGGAATGTGTAGTCGGAGTAACCATTAGCCTTAAGAGCTTGGTGTACGTGCTTGAGTTCACTGCCTATGTGTTCCTGGTTGGATATGCATTGGGCTCTATGGTGCAGAGTCTTGATGAGGGAATTCTTCTGGGATGGATGGTGGTGGGAATCCGGTTTCAGGTAAGCATCCGTATGGGGATCTTTCCTGTAGACAGAGTGGCTCTCTTTTTTATTAGGACATCCAAAAAGGTAGCTTGCCATCTTTTTCGACTTCCCGGCAAAAAAAATTTCAACGTAAACCCCGCCGATTGAGAGTCAATCCACACAAAGAATGCCATTTATAGGTAAGATGTTAATGATCCATGTGAAATGCATGTGTATTTAAGAGTTTATCTTTGTGGGGATCTGTAGCGCAGTTATTTCACTGCATTATGAACTCAACAATTATTTTGATTATGGCCGACAGCAAATATGATTTATAACACTGTAACCAAAAAAAAATGTTTTCCCTGGGTAGTAAGTGTTATTTTCTAATTGCTTATGCCTCAAAAGTACAGAAAATAGCTATTATTCCCCACACACTTTGCTTTTGTGACCAGGACAGTGATATTTTGAAATTTACGTATTTGCAATGAGAAAACGTGTGCATTTTTGTCATTACTTCACGTAAAGTCCTGGTCACAAAAGAAGGTTTGTGGGGAATAATAGCCATTTTCTATACTTTTTAGGCATAAGCAATTACAAAATAACACTACCCAGGGACAAAAATCGTGTTACATAGTGTTAGTGAAAGCTGAACTTATTGTGGGCCTCTGCTATGTTGATTGGTCTTAAATTCATTACATGGTGAAGTGAGAAAGCATTAATACTGAGCAGATTAAGGCGGCCAGGCATGGTTCTGGACACACAACCACCTTTTTTACCATGCCAATGTGTGACAGTGTCAAGTTTTTATTTGCAGTAATGGGTATTAACTATTGAACATGGAGGGTAAATCAAAACAATAGTTTTTTAATTTTCCTCTGGGACTTTTTGTAAGAATGGAAACAGGAAAATATGTCAGCACATATGCAGCTGAAGTTAGATGTATTCATCCGAGCATTCAAGCAAATCTGAGCCAGGCTTTCCACCTCAAAGTTTCGATTGAACATTCATTTATGCATTTCTGCATAATACAAATAGTTTTATTTTCAACACACTTTGCTATTATAGCTGAATTTTTCTTAAATATTCCTTTCATAGCTTGACAGCAGAAATTATGTGCTTGTAGTTTAGGGTAAACATTCATTTTGAAGATACTAGGGCATCCAGGCATATTCATGACCATTGGCCCTCTCATTGTGTGCCTTAACAGCCGGCGTGATGAATTTGGGAATTGTTTAAACTATATCATGAATATATGAAAAAGTATAGACGTGCAAGTCATGTGTGACTGTTTATATATGCATTCCTCTGTGCCTTGATACTGATGTAGATGGTGTGGATGTGTTTTTCTGACTGCAGCGGATGCTTCCTCTGACACTTCCTCTGCAGAATTGGTCTGATGGAGCAAAGGCACTCAGCGCAGCTCGGTACAAGAAGGAAACGATGCGACCAGGATGCAAACAGCACGGATCGTACTGGAAGTTTGACACAGCACCAGAGAACTCACACAGGAGAGAACCCCTTCAAGTGCACCGTGTGTGAGAAGGCATTTGCATGGTCATCAGTTCTTCAGACCCACCAGAGAACACACACGGGAGAGAAACCCTTCAAGTGCAGTGTGTGTGAGAAGGCATTTGCACAGTCATCAGTTCTTCAGAGACACCAGAGAACACACACAGGAGAGAAACCCTTCAAGTGCACTGTGTGTGAGAAGGCATTTACAGAGTCATCACATCTTAAAAAACACCAGAGAATGCACACAGGAGAGAAACCCTTCAAGTGCAGTGTGTGTGGGAAGGCATTTTCAAGTTCATCTGATCTTAAAAGACACCAGACATCACACACAGGAGAGAAATCCTTCAAGTGCACTATGTGTGAGAAGGCATTTACAGAGTCATCAAATCTTCATAGCCACCAGAGAACACACACAGGAGAAAAACCTTTCAAGTGCACTGTGTGCGGGAAGGCGTTTACACGGTCATCACATCTTAAACAACACCAGAGAACGCACACAGGAGAGAAACCCTTCAAGTGCACTATGTGTGAGAAGGCATTTACAGAGTCATCAAATCTTCAGAGCCACCAGAGAACACACACAGGAGAAAAACCTTTCAAGTGCACTGTGTGTGGGAGCGCATTTACACGGTCAACAAATCTTCACGACCACGAGAGAACACACACGGAAGAGAACCCTTTCAAGTGCAATTTGTGTGGGAAGGTATTTTCAGGTTCATCTCTTAAACGACACCAGAGAACGCACACTGAAGATAAATCGTTCAGGTGCCTTTTGTGCAATAAAACGTTTGCAAAGTCATCAAATCTTCAGAGCCACCAGAGAACACACACAGGAGAGAAACATTTCAAGTGCACTGTGTGCGGAAAAACATTCACACGGTCATCATATCTTCACAACCACGAAAGAACACACACAGGATCGAAACCCTTCAAGTGCACTCTGTGCAGGAAGGCGTTTGCCCTGTCATCACATCTTAAAAGACACCAGAGGACACACACAGGAGAGAAACCCTTCAACTGCACTCTGTGCGGGAAGGCGTTTGCACAGTCGCCACAGCTTCATAGACACCAGAGGACACACAGGCATCAGAAGATCCCCAAGGAGTGTAGTCTGAAATCGACTTGTGCAAGTCAAAGTGCTGCAATGAGCCCATCCCTCCTGATAAAAGAACCAGAAGTAAATTCCAGCTTGGACACTATGAAATGTATCAAGGTGAAATTTGAAGAGGCGAAGGTGAAATGTGAAGAGGCGAAGGTGAAATGTGAAGAGGCAGCAGTGAAGAGTGAAGAAGTGACGGTAAAATGTGAAGATGAAGATTCAACTCCAAATTCGGACCTTCACATCGATGGAGGCAACGTGAAGCAGGAGGAGAATTCTGACTGTGAGGCAGAGCGAGGCAACTCCCAGGAGTTTGTGGAAGTGGAGGTGTGGCTGGACTTCTTAGACAATACAAAGTCAAATGGAGACCCTGTAGATGTGTAAGCTTGAGACAATGAAGCTCCAATAGATTCACCTTTGTCACAGGCCTTTAATGAAAGAATGTGAAGTTGAACACTCAATTCCTAGGTTCAACCTGCAGAGTAAGAGCGGCCAGTATTTGCGGACCTGTGGGTTGGGTAGATCTCTAACCAGGAGCCAGAGCTAATAAGCTCCCAATCCTTCACTGTTATAATAATATTAGCATTTATATGGTGCTTGCTTAATTGCCTCAGCAACTCGGAGTTTTGTATCATATCTCATCACAAACACTCGAAGAGCATGTTGTATTACTCTTTGGTTCTTTTGGTAAGTCACGTAGAAAATAAAATCAAATAATAGAATACGACGTTTCGATTGCAGCACAAGCAACCATCATCAGGTAAGATTGAATGATAAGACACGGGAACAGCATAGGCAGACACATGCAGAGATAGAGACACAAAGACACACCAGAATGAGACACACACCAAGACAAACAGAAGGACAACGAATCTGTGCCGAGGCCTTAAATAGAGGGGGGGAGGAACCGGGGCAGAGAGAGGACTGCAGAGGTGGACAAATGAAGGGGACCAGCGGACAAACGAGGGGAGGCAATCCATTTATTGATACGAACACAAAGGGGCAACTGCCCCTTTAACAGATAACAACTTATGGTGGTGGACCACCAGGCTAACTACACTAATTACACTGGGAGTAGCTACAACGGACAGGACCCTGGCTTGGGTCCAGGTCACGTGTTGGTGACTTCTCAGGATAACAACAACGCTGAACCCCGGTCCCTCTGGGGACCCAGTTTATATCATCACGGGTCGTGGCGTGGCTGGCACTGCCCTTGGCCACGACCACCTCGAATCCTCTCGCGGGATCTCGCCCCGACACATGACCACTTGGGGCCCCTGTGTAGACTTTACCCATCACGTGCCATCCAGGGTCAACCAGAGTGCCATGGCCTACACTAACCCCATTGATGGCCGGCACCCTCACATCCCCTCCTATAGGGGACAGCACTGCACGCCGAGCATGGTGCCACTCAGCGCTCTATCAGTACTCACCGAGCCGCTCTAGGGCTGGTACTACACCCACATGTACGGGGTGTCGGCGATGTCAATACATGGCACGCCGTGCCTCGTTAGAGCTGGCATTACCCAGTGTCATCCACGATGTTGCTTCGTATGCGATGTCCGCGATGTAAGTACATTGCACGCCGTGCTTCTCTAGGGTCGGCACCAAACAGTGACGTCTGCGATGTCACTACAATTTTATTAAAATACAAATTTTTCATTGTATTATCACGATTGGTAATACACCCCTAGATAATGAAGCTGACCCTAATCTTCATAATTGCATTAATGTGCATATTTTCATACAGTAGCATACTTTCAAAAAATGACATGTTTTTTTCTTATTTTTCAAGACTATATACAAGCACCCCCAAGTGGCAGCTGCCCCTGTGTGGCATAAGGTGGTCCTGCACCAGCCTGCATGTGGGCATGAGTCGGTCAGTAGGGGGCAATGATTGATGTGTAATCTCAGTTGTGTAATTTGTGGGTAATTTTTCGAATTTGCCAAATTTTAACCACAACGCCAGCAAGCAATCGCCTACTCATTTTGAATGATACAATAGTATGTTTTACAATCGATCAAATGTTAAGCAGACGGTGCATATTTGTAATTAATGTTCCTGGACTAACCAGGCATGCCTGTCGGATTTTAACCTTGAACCTCTGCAACAAAAAGAGAATGCACTATCACTTGGCTTCCCTCAGTCTGAGCACTGCAGGTGAAGGCCTCATCGGACGGATATCAACTTCTTGTAAATACGATGTAACATACTCTTTGGGTCTTTCGGTAAAGTCACATAGGTAGAAAAAAAATAATAGATCACGACATTTCGGTCGGAACACAAGCGTCCGTCTTCAGGTGAGAGAGAGAAAGCTGCTGAAACAAGGTCTTATGTAGGCTTGAGATATGCGCAGCCTCGGGGTAAAAGGGTGGGGCTAGAGATGGTCTGCCTGAGGCTGTGGAAGTGGCTATTGTATTGTGAGAGATTAGCATATCAATGCACGAGCTTAGTATACCACCGTATTGGTGGCTTGCCTACTATGAGAGTGCCATCCAAAGGACCTGTGAGCATGAGAGTGCAATCCAAGAGGCACAAAGAGAGAGTCAGAAATAACAGCTCACATAGGCAGGTAGGATGGATACATCACAGTCAGTTAAGACTTTACCTGTTTAATAACGTCCTTCCAATGATTACTCAGTTTGTACCCGTCTTCTTGGTTGAAGTTGTGTCTGTGTTTATATATCTGGCTGGCTTCATGAACAAATCTCTGAAGGTAGTCGGTAGGTTTGCAGAGTACCTCCGTCTTGGAAAAATAAATTTCCTGTGAGCCCACAGCGTTAAAACAATGATCAGCAATGGCAGAGGTATTGGTCCTATCGTGTTTCAGATCTGCCTTGTGTTCACGAACACGGTCCGAGACACGTTTCGTTTTCCCAATGTCACTGCTGCCGCAATCACAACTCGGTTTGTAGACACCAGGGTATTGCATGTCAGGAATCACATTTATTACAGATGGGATCAAATCACGGATTTTGTGTACTGTGTTGATACGAACCTGGATCTTGTGTTTAAGATTTTGGAAGTCTTTTTGGTAATCCCTGCTATGGATGGTAAAGTGATGGTTTTGGTTGGATCCTCAGAAGGTTGTCTCCCCATGGCTGGGGAGACAGCTTTGTGGATTGTACGGTTAAAGTATCCATTCATCCTGAGGGCTTGGTGTACTTTCTCCAACTCACTGGCTCGGTGGGGCTAGTCGGAGATGGTGTCGTGTTTTGATGAGGGAATTCTTCTGGGCTGGATGGTGGTGGGAGTCAGGCTTTAGATGGGCATCCGTGTGGGTGGATATCCTGTAGACAGTGTCCCAACAAGCCATCAGGTCTCGATCAAAACTTCCAGGAATGCTAGCTTGCCATCCTTTTCCACGTCTGTGGTGAATTTGATAGACGGGTGTATGGGATTTCTCCAAGACGAAGGTACTCTGCAAACCCATCGGCTATCTTCAGAGATTTGTTCATGAGGCCATCCAGATATATAAACAGACACAACTTCAACTGAGATGGGTACAAACTGAGCAATCATTGGAAGGACGTTATTAACCAGGTAAAGTCTTAACTGACTGCGATGTTTCCATCCTACCTGCCTATGTCAGCTGTTATTTACGACTCTGTTTCTTTCTCTTTGTGCCTCTTGGATTGCACTCTCATGGTCACAGGTCCTTTGGATTGCACTCTCATGTTCACAGGTCCTTTAGATTGCACTCTCATGCTCACAGGTCCTTTAGATTGCACTCTCATACTCGGTAAGCCACCGATTTGGTGGCATACTAAGCTCGTGCATTGATATGCTAATCTCTCACAATACAATAGCCACTTCCACAGCCTCATCTCTAGCCTCGCCCTCTTACCCCGAGGCTGCACCCATCTTAAGCCTACATAAGACCTTGTTTCAGCAGCTTTCTCTCACCTGAAGACGGACGCTTGTGTTGCGACTGAAACGTCGTGATCTATTATTTTTTCTACCTAGGTGACTTTACCGAAAGAACCAAAGAGTATGAATTCCTGCAGTCATGAAAGCTTCAAATCACGATGTAACATGAGGAGGCACAATTCAGTGCAGTAAAATTACATTTTGTCAATATGCCTATTGATGATTTAGAATGATAATTTAATGAATACTTGTCTGATTTTGTGTGTACATGTAACATTGTATCTATAAGGGTCAAACATGGAATACGTAATTGTTAGGCGAAAGTGTGTATTTTGGAATTAACCTGTACAGATAACTCACATGAGAGCTGTTGTTCTTGTGATACGGGTCAACTGGTATTTTTAGTGATTCAGCAAGCATCTGCCTCTGGAACAAGTCATTGTCTTTGAAATAAGGAATATTCACATCATTCGTCAGTTACAAGGCATACCACTTAAAAGTTACGTATAGGAAATACATTCTCCACAACACTAATTATTTTGTATTACGTGTTTTTTAGATTTTGTCGAACTAGGACTAGAAATACTCCTTGCTGATTAACATCTGGATGTTCGTAACCATCGGTTGAAGCAAGCCCGACTGCTGTTGAAACATTGTACACCAATACCGGTCCACAGGTGGCTTGCACGGAATCAATGATGCACTCCCAGAAGGCTGTGCTATTTATAGTTTGTGTAAAACATTTGTTTGTGGAGAGACCGATAAATGAAAGGGACGTCGTGTCTGCTGATCTGTTTCAGCACAAGGAGATAATTTTAAGAGCACATTTGAAATGCATCATGGATTTTTGTTGCCGATTGTGTTCTAGCCTAGGTTTTATTGAATTTTAATATCTGTTTAAATAAAACTTAAATAACCGTGTCCATCGATATCCCACTGCTTACCACATGTTTACTTAAATATGTAAAAGCCTCCTCTGGAGACGTCACCTGAAAGTCACGAGTGGATGATGTCAGTGCCTCCCGCCTCCCTATATGATTGTGACCTCACCAATAGCAGAACTCCCCTCTTTCACGG